CCTCGGCCGTCTTCGCCGACTCCGCAGCCTGTCGCTGTAGACTCTGGTGCTGGGGGTGGTGACACTGGGGGTGCGGACACTAGAGGTGCTGGTCCTGGGGTTGTTGAGTCTGGAGGTGCTGGTTCTGGGGGTGCTGAGTCTGAGGGTGATGGGTCTGGGGTTGCTGATTCTGGGGGTGCTACGAGTCCTAGTGGTGGTGGAGTCGTGGGTGCTCTTGCTGGAGGTTCTGGCATTAGACAGCAGCAGCAGTCTCGTCGACAAGAGATCCTCTCACCGCAGCAGCTTTACGACTGGGTTGTTCGGCGGGGGCGGGTTGCTGGAGGTGCTGGAGCTGGAGGTACTGGAGGTACTGGAGCTGATGGTGCTGGAGGTGCTAGAGCTAGAGGTGCTGGAGGTACTAAAACTGTTGGTGCTGGAGGTGCTGGAGGTACTAGAGCTACTGGTGCTGGAGGTGCTCGAGCTGGAGGTGCTGGAGGTACTGGAGCTGCAGGTGCTGGGGGTACTAGAGCTGGAGGTGCTGGAGGTGCTGAAGGTACTGGAGCTACTGGTACTGCAGGAGCTGGAGCCGAAGGTGCTGGAGGTACTGGAGCTGCTGGTGCTGGAGGTGCTAGAGCTGGAGGTACTGGAGGTGCTGCAGCTGGAGGTGCAGGAGGTGCTGGAGCTGAAGGAGCCGGGGGTGCTGGAGCTGCTGGCGGTACGGGTACTGCGCCGCGACAACCGTTTTTCTACCCGCAGCCGCAGTCGTCCCTGCCACCACCACACTCGGCACTTCGTCAGGTTCTTAGTCTTCCGTCTTCCACTGGCCTTACTCCGCCTCTCCTGTGTCCTCCGCCTGACCATTCACATCCATTGTTATTGCTTGGCTCTCCACTGCCTGCTCATTCTCCCTACCCTGCACAGACAGGCTCCCTGGCAGAGCGTCATGGGCCTGAGTCTCGTCCTGCCTCCCCTGTTCGCACTGTGTGCCGTGCTCGTCGTCCTCGTCCTCCACCTGTCCCCGGCACACACACTATGGCACTTCGTCCTTCCTCTGTTCCACAGCGTGTTGCCCTGCCGTCTCCTCCGGCGTCCTCTCTTCCTGACGTTCTTGACCCTGAGTCCGACCTTGCTCGTGCTGCTAGTCCGACTGTCACTCGTCTCCTCGCCAATTTTGTCACTGACCCTTCCTTTGAGTCTACTGCTGCGTCTGCCCTAGTCACTGACCTAGTCGACTTTGCTCCTACCCGTCGTCTCGACTACGTCGCAGGTCTTGTTACTGAGTCTGAGTCTGTCTGTCCTCAGTCCGTAAGGGGTGAGCTTGGCCTTGGCAGTGACGTCCTTGAGGCCAGGCAGTTTGATCTCGAGTGTCTTGCGGACGTTTTACCTCGTCTCGCGTCCATGCTGCTTTGCCCTGAGGGAGACCCGGATGCACTACACATCCCGACCCCGCGCACTCACGCAGAGGCGATCACGGGTGAGTACTCCTCTCAGTGAAAGACAGCCATGGACGCAGAGATGGCTTCCTGGAAGTCCACAGGCACCTATGTCAACGAGGTTCCCCCTCGTGGGGCGAACATAGTCGATGGCATGTGGATTTTTAGAGTGAAGCGGCCGCCGGGTTCTCCGCCTGCCTTCAAGGCGCGTTATGTTGCTCGAGGCTTCAGTCAGCGACAGGGGGTTGACTTCTTTCAGACCTTCTCCCCCACCCCGAAGATGACCACTCTTCAGGTGTTACTGCACATTGCAATACAGCGTGACTACGAGCTGCACTCCCTCGACTTCTCTACAGCTTTCTTGCAGGGCATCCTTCACGAGGAGATCTGGCTGCGCTGCCCACCTGGCTTCACTGGGTCGTTTCCTGAAGGTACCCAGTGGAGCTTCCTGCGGCCAGTCTACGGTCTCCGCCAGGCGCCCCGCGAGTGGCACGACACACTGAGTACGACACTTGCGGCTCTTGGGTTTGCTCCTTCGACTGCTGACCCGTCGCTGTTTCTGCGCACCGACCCTACTCTGCCGCCGTTCTACACCGTATACGTCGACGACTTGGTCTTTGCTACTGCCGGCACTGGGGCGCTGACCTTTGTGAAGGCGGAGCTGCAGAAGAGACCCTTGCACTGACCTGGGTGAGCTGCGTAGCTATCTTGGCTTGAAGATCACACGGGACAGAGCAAGGCGCACCATCACTCTGACTCAGTCACACATGGTACAGCCGGTCCTTCAGCGCTTCGGCGTCCGGTTCTCCTCGCCACTGCCTACTCCTTTGCCTACAAGCCACTCGTTCTCAGCTCCACCTTCGTATCCAGAGCTTGTGGGCTGCCTCATGTACCTGATGACGTGCACACGACCTAACCTCGCGTACCGTCTCAGCATCCTTGCTTGTCAGAATGTTATAATTGTCTAGCCTGCAGTGGGGTACTCCATAGTGAGTACATCCCAATTAGGGTTTGCTATATGTATCCAACTGCTTGCTAGTGAAACCCCTCCTTTCTTCATTCTTCTTTCTCCTACTACTTCTGACATTGCTCGCTTCGTCGCGCCCGGGAGACACAGAAAGGAGCACTGGACAGCTGCGCAGAGGGTACTGCGTTACTTGTGCAGTACATTGGGCATGGGGCTCGTGCTTGGAGGACGTGGTCCATTGGTACTCACAGGGCACTCCGACGCTTCTTGGGCCGACGACCAGGCGACTTAGCGGTCGTTACAGGGTTACTCTTTCAGTCTCGGCTCTGGTTCTGTCTCGTAGAGGTCCACTCGTTCGTCTTCTGTGCTTGGTTCCAGCTGTGAGGCCGAGATCTACGCTGGGGCTATGGCTGAACGGGAGTTACGATTGCTGACCTACATGCTGACCGAATTGGGTGAGCGGCCTCGTTCTCCTCCAGTTCTGTACGTCGACAACAAGGCCATGATTGCCTTGTGTCGCGAACAAAGACTGGAGCACTGAACGAAGCACGTTGCTCTTCGTTACTTTCTTGGTCGAGAGTTGCTGCAGCGTGGTCAGCTGCGCCTTGGTTACGTATCCTCTCGGGCCACCGCTGATGTCCTCACCAAGGCCCTTGGATCTGGTGATCATCAGCGTTTCTGCACTGCTCTAGGCCTTGTGCCTACTCTGCCTCACCTGCTAGTTGTTTGACTTTTTCTTGTACTGTGATCTCTATATATATACCTGCATGTTTGCTCTTGCTAGGTTGTGATCACTGTACTACTTGTGGTTTTATAACTCTGCATGTGAACTAGCCTTGTGGCCGCTTGCTTGTGCTCAGAATGCGTGGTGATCTTGAGATCCACCCTGAGCTTTGCTTTGCTTTGTTATCTTGCTTGACTGGTCTTGCTGTCAGAATCCCAACCACTAGACCATATATGATATAGCATGTTTAGGCTGTAGTGGGTTAGACATTATGGGGTACAGCTTTTCTAGGTTTTCCTATTTGTACCCATCTCATTTCTAGTTCAATCATTTCCTCGTAAAAAAAAAAAAAAATGGGCGCACTGACCTGCTACTGAAACAAGCCCTTTTATCCCAATGGTCTAGTGGTTGGGATTCTGACATGGTATCAGAGCGGTCTCGGGTTCGAATCCCGGTGTATGCACATGCAGGCCGTTGCCGCTGTGCCTAGTCCTGGACCTCCCAGTGTGGGCGGGTGCCAGAAGACTTGCACTGTGAGATCCCTGATTGATCCTTGGGGGGTTACAGGCTTGTTAGCCTGGGGGGTTATGGGCGCACTGACCCGCTACTGAAACAAGCCCCTTTATCCCAATGGTCTAGTGGTTGGGATTCTGAAACTTGCGACCGTTGGTTGTTCTTGCTATCCCCCACTTTGCCTATGGGGGTGTGTCAAACTGTGTTTGTATATCTGTACGTTGTAGTGGGGTATCCTCTACTGTGTAAAACACTTTAGGGTTAGACCTAGTACTTGTACTCGTCTCATGCTTCTAGTCAACCATTCCTGCACGTTATTTCTGACATGACGTTGATGATAGCGAATATAAATGACGACATGATATAAATAAAACTTACATTGGAAAGTCCTAGCTAGCTCTGAGGGGATTCTGAAACTTGCGACCGTTGGTTGTTCTTGCTATCCCCCACTTTGCCTATGGGGGTGTGTCAAACTGTGTTTGTATATCTGTACGTTGTAGTGGGGTATCCTCTACTGTGTAAAACACTTTAGGGTTAGACCTAGTACTTGTACTCGTCTCATGCTTCTAGTCAACCATTCCTGCACGTTATTTCTGACATGACGTTGATGATAGCGAATATAAATGACGACATGATATAAATAAAACTTACATTGGAAAGTCCTAGCTAGCTCTGAGGGGTACGTTCCTTTATCAACTGTAATACTGGTATCGCTATAGTGGCAGTGACTATTGCGATGAAGTTCAGTTACCTCGTTGCAGCGCGAAACCTCCGAGACGGTTTCGTTGCGACTTTGGAGCAGTTCGCAACCTTTTGGTAGGTAAGGCTATTCCTTTTGGAAATGCTTAAAGTACGTTTCGGTTACTTCAACATATACCGTAGCACCTTTTATATATTAGAAAATGTCATGACATGTGAATAGTGTTAATAATTCGACGGGTGTAATCTGATGCTATATGTGGATTTTGAGATTTGTAATCATATGGTTGAAATGTCATTGTAAATATTGAAGTAATAATATAAAGTAATGGTCATAGCTGTATCACATTCGTGTGTATTTGTCGAAAGAAAACGTCGCTGTGATTGATGTGATTATATGCATGAATTGGATTTTTTTTTATTTGATCGTAGATGATGTGAACTATATATGATTGAATCAATCTGTTACAGTATTTGTAACAGGTTGGAATTTGTTGGACATGTTGACTTTGTACGTTAGCCCTACAACCACCTCGGGGTACCTCGGGACAAAATTAGGGTTAGTTCAAGGTTACCTAGCCCCTCTACTTTTTTGAGAAGTCCGGTGTGCCGTGCGCGTAGCTGCACGCGCGCCGCAGCGTGCCGCGCGCTTCTCGTGCGCGCCAGTGCGCGCAGCGGCCATCCAATGGCGGCCGCGAGCCAATCCGCTGCGGGCAGCGCTGGTCCGGACAGAGCGGAAGCGGGGGGGTCGCAAGGCGCCGGGGATGCTATCGCTGATCAGTCGTCCGCGCCAGGTGCTGCGTGGGACGCTGCAGCGGTGCGGGCGGACGCGTCGGGGGCAGCGGCGCCCAGAGAGTCGTGCATCAAACACATCGATGCCATCTGGTTCTGCTACTGTGAGCGCCTGCTGCTACTGTGAGCGCCCTGCTGCTACTGTGAGCGCCCTGCTGCTACTGTGAGCGCCCTGCTGCTACTGTGAGCGCCCTGCTGCTACTGTGAGCGACCTGCTGCTACTGTGAGCGCCCTGCTGCTACTGTGAGCGCCTTGCTGCTACTGTGAGCGCCCTGCTGCTACTGTGAGCGCCCTGCTGCTACTGTGAGCGCCCTGCTGCTACTGTGAGCGCCCTGCTGCTACTGTGAGCGCCTTGCTGCTACTGTGAGCGCCTTGCTGCTACTGTGAGCGCCCTGCTGCTGCTGCATGGGTGTGAAGAGCATGCTGTGCGGGCATGCGTCACATGAGTGCAAGCATGTGCTGCTCCGCTCTTGAGTTGCTCTGCTGTACGTTACGCTTGTCTCAGTCCATGCCACGACACCACTGCACCCGTGCCGTGATTGCTGCTTGTGATATTTGCTCTCTCACCCATGCTTTGCTCCGCTCCGCCTCCTCTTCCCCGTGGGCGTGGCACGGAACAGCGCCGGTGTACCAGACAACGCAGTACTACCGCGAGGGCACGTTTGACTCGTGCCTCGGCAAGTGGGGCCACCTGTGGGACTGCATGCTGCTGCGCACCGCCGCTGCCCCCTCCGTGCTGGTCAGTGCTGCCCCTCTGCACTGCCGCCACCCGCCTGGTCTCGCCACGCCCATGTGCCCATGCTCCCATGCGCCCATCACTGCCACCTGCCAGCTCATCACTGCTCTCAAACGTTGCCTCCGTTTCCCGTGCTGCTGCGTCCCTGCACTGTCACGTGCGTGCATAGATCTACGAGGCCTGCCTCATGGGGAGAGGGAGGCGTTGAGAGAGCAAGTGATGCACTTGCCAGTCGCCAATCCACTTACGAGCACCCTGCTTCAGCGTGCCAAGTGCATGTGTATCCACTCGTTGACCATGTGTGCTCTGAAGGTTCCGTGCTACTCCCCTCTTGGCCTCCATGCACCGCTGGGCTTCCCCTTGGATGATGCTTGCATGCCCACAACCCATGGCACCATTGCACGTGCCCAACTCCACCTCCCTGCTGCCTGCTTCCCTGCTTGTCCTCTTCCCCCACACGCCAATCACCCAATGCTCCACGGGTCCCACCTGTCTGCCAGGCGCGGCGCGAGGAGAGGCGCGATCAGCAGGGCCCTCCGCCACCCCACATCTGGCAGATGCGCTCGCCAGAGGAAGCAAGGAAGTTCTGGGAGCAGGAGTTTGGAGGGAAGTCCTAGGTTATTCAGGTCTTTTAGGTTTGGTGAGGTCATTTTCTGTTTCCTAGAGGCCATTTTATGTACCGTATATTGAAATATTGGCTCACGTAGAGACTTCTGTTCCCAGAGGGTTTTCACTTGGTGTTTCCTAGAAACCTCTGTTCCCAGAGAGTTTTTACTTAGTGTTTCCTAGAAACCTCAGTTCCCAGAGAGTTTTTACTTAGTGTTTCCTAGAAACCCTAGTGTTCTCTGGTTCCTACCGTAGATCGCATTGCACCGAGGCGGCTGAGGAGGCGCCTAGAGGCCATGCAAGCCCTACGGATGCTAGCTGAGGCGCCTCAGCAATACTGTCACGCCTGTACCTAGGATAGATAGCAGCTCGCCTTGCCCCGTGCCAAGAGAGTGAGACGGGACGACGGCCAAACTTGCCCACCTAATGTAGGCTGACCATCCAGGGACTGAAATACAGGTACTGCCGCAGCCTTGGGGATCCAAGCAAACGACGCCAGATTGGCAGAAAACCCTCTGGGGACAGAGGTTGCAACGGGAAGTCATTCGACACCAACTTAGCCACATTGAGCAACACATTGCACATCTACACATTCTACTAGCAAATATCGCACCTAACACACGGAAGCCAAGCCTGAGAGTAGAAACAAAGTAGCAGCGCGCCTAACGAGCATCTACAACGAGGCCATCATCGCCTCCTCCTACGAGCTAATAGGTTGGGCGGCGAAGACCCGAATCATTCTTGGAGAGTCGAGTGCATCCTGAGCGTAGCGCCTAGCACGTGGGGCGGCGCAGTTAGTAGCTCTTGCAGCACACGAAAGCGCCGTTCTTCTGGCAGCAGCCGCCCTTCTTGCAGCACTTGTCGCCGCCGCAGCACGGGTACTCGGGGCTCTGCGCGGTGCACGCGTACACGCGCGTGTTGGGGAAAGGGCGCAAGCAGAGAGGTAGGTTAAGCGTTGCGCATCGCGTGTCGCCACGGCGGCACGAGAGGAAAGGAAAAGGAGTGATAAGGGGACACTGAGGCATCCAGTTGAATGAATGGAGCAGGGGACAGGCGATGACGGTCGGAGGGGGGAAACGAATAAAAACAGGAGACTGAAGGGAGTGCAGATAGTGGGTCCTTTTCAGAGCAACTTACAATGCAGCACGCGCCGCCGCAGTACTCCGCCGCCGGCGAGTTGCCCGACTTGCCGGCATAGGGGCAGTAACCGGAGCCGTCGCCAGCCGCGCTACGGCGCTTCTTATGCTTCGGCTTGTACGCGCCGCCCTTGCTTCCGGTTGCTGCGCCGCTACTTCCGGCCAGGATGCGACGCTCTACGACTTCGCTGAGATCGTCGCCGAGAAAGTCTGCGACTTCGTCGGCAGCATCGTCGAAGGTGAACTCGTCGTTCGCAATCGCCGCCTCGACGTCGGAGGCGGCGGTGCGCGCGGGCAGCAGGTGCAGCACGAGGGCCGCTGCGAGGAGCGCGAGAAGCGAGAAGCGGAGGGCGTTCATCCTGTTCTATCGGCGTGGGAAAGTAGCGACTAGCTAAGCTGGAGTTAACGACTAGCTAAGGATAGCTGTCTGGTGGCACTGATTGCTTGCTGTTGAATGATATGATATATTTTGAATGCAGCGCGCCTCTTTGTATCTGACTCACAGTTCCCGGTCGAGGCGCGATGCTGCACCAGTCCGTACCGAGCTGTGGGAAAGACCACCACACCATGTGACCCGAATTAAACGCGATTGGGCTGTGGGTGAAAAAGCGGCTCGATTGCGCTTGTCGCGAGCGTGGGCGTTGTGTGAAGGGTGTACGTGTTCGTGCTGCTTCTCGTGCGGGTGAGCATTGAGAAGTGCGTGCTTGTGTGGAGAGGTGCACGCCGCTGCTTGCATCGTGCGTAGAAATGTGGGTGCACAGCACACATGGTTCACAAAGAGGGTGTACATCTGGATTTTCTTGGACCACTACAGATGCTGTTCCCTCTTTTATGAATTTTGGAGGAGAAGGTTTTTGTGTGTTCAAAATTTATATACAAATTCCTGTCTTGGAGACTTTCAAAACTCAAAATTGGATGTGTTAGAATAAGGATCTTGGATAGAATATGTTGCCTTAGAGATTGGTAGCAGAAGCCTTTTGGTTAGACACTTTTTCCAAGCCTATTATAAGATGGTATTAGAGTAGGCTGTTTTTCTCCCTCCCACGCTTCCGCTCCGTCCCTTAGCCGTTCCCGAGGCGCCCGTCCCTTAGGCCCCGTTTCGTCGCGGGTGGGACGACCCCTGTTGAAGAAAATATATTGTTATGTTTTCTTATAAACTGCCAACAGCTTTAACAGCAGTGTAGTGTAGCTTCTTGTGGGTGGTGGTGCACCTTTGTGCCCACCCTTGCTCCTACTTGTACCCTTGTTCCTAATTATCCAATCCTCTTTGGCCAACTTATCCATCCTCTCGCTATCTTTCTCCTTAGCTTCTCAAACCCTAAGTCCTAGCTACTAAGTACTATTTTGACATGGTAACAGAGCGTCTACGCTCCTGGCCTGTGGGCCCACCTGCTTCCGCTGTTGTACTGTCTGTCGCGCGCCCCATGGCGCGCGACGTTTTTTCTTCCCGCCACGCGCTCGGGGCGCGTGGCGGTTTTCTGCCCGCCATGCGCTCGGGGCGCGTGGCGGTTTCACGCTCCGTCGCGGCGCCCCCGGGGACCAGCGCGCCGCCCCCCGTCGTTCGTCGCGGCGCCCCCGGGGACCGGCGCGCCGCCCCCCGTCGCCCGTCGCGGCGCGCCCGGGGACCCGCGCGCTGTCCCTCGTCGCACGTCGCGGCGCCCCAGGGGACTGTCGCGCCGTCCCCGTCATCCGTCGCGGCGCCCCCGGGGACCCGCGCGCCGCCCCCCGTCGCCCGTCGAGGCGCCCCCGGGGACCCGCGCGCCCCCCCTCCTGGACCCGCCTGCCGCCCGCGCCTTGCCCGTTGCGAGTGCCCCACAGCCCGCCCGCGCCCTGCACGTCGCGACGCCGCCCGCCCTCCCCCCTCCTCCTTCGACTTCCTGCTGCGCGTGCAGCAGTGTGGAGGGTATGGGGGTGGCGGGGGTAAGGGGGGGTATGGGGGTGGTGGGAGTGCGTGACCAGCTGCCCCTCCTCCTCCTCTCTCTCCCACTACTGCAGCTGCCGCTGAGGGGGGGATGGAGTGGGTGAGGTTGGGGAGTGGCGCTAGGGCCGAGGGGTGTGACAAGGGGGGGGTGGGACAATCCGAGGGGGGTGAGGGCGCGTGGCCGCCGTGAAGTCCGCAGCTCTAGTCGCCCGTGAGACCGTTGCGTCAGAGGCCCGTGGGTCAGTTGCTCTTCCCGGCGAGCGAGCCAGTTACTCCGGTTACCCGTTGCTCCGGTCCCCAGAGGGTCAGTTGCTCTTGCCGGCGAGCAGAGCCAGTTACGCCGTTTGCGACCAGTGCCAGTAGCTTCAGCGGCCGCCCACCTCCTCTCCTCTCCAGTTTCCTCCTCCTCTTCACTTGCCCTCTCCTTCCGCTGCACTAGTTATTGCTGTGGGCAGTTTAGGGGGTGTGTTGAAGAAAATGTATTGTTATGTTTTCTTATAAACTGCCAACAGCTTTAACAGTAGTGTAGTGTAGCTTCTTGTGGGTGGTGGTGCACCTTTGTGCCCACCCTTGCTCCTACTTGTACCCTTGTTCCTAATTATCCAATCCTCTTTGGCCAACTTATCCATCCTCTCGCTATCTTTCTCCTTAGCTTCTCAAACCCTAAGTCCTAGCTACTAAGTACTATTTTGACAGCCCCCGCGGGCCTCGTTTTCGTCGCGTTCAAAGGCCCCCGCGGGCCTCGTTTTTCGTCGCGTTTAAAGGCCCCCGCTGGCCCCTCATTTCGTCGCGCTCCAGAAGCCCCCCCCCACCCCCCCCCCCCCCCCCCCCCCCCCCCGGGCCCGCGTAGTCGTGCTTAGCCCGTAACAGCCGCGCGTGCACGCAGCAGGCGCACACGCACCAGCAGCAGCAGCCCGCGCGTTAGCCAGCGGCAGCCGCGCCCGCCACTGCATCGCGCGCATTGCAGCAGCAGCGCTCGCATTGCAGCAGCAGCGCGTGCATTGCTGCAGCAGCGCGTGCATTGCAGCAGCAGCGCGCGCATTGTAGCAGCAGCGCGCGCATTGCTGCAGGAGCGCGTGCATTGCTGCAGCAGTACGCCTAGGCAGCAGCGCATGTTACTGCAGCAGCACGGCTAGGCAGCAGCGCGTGTTACTGCAGCAGCACGGCTAGGCAGCAGCGCGTGTTACTGCAGAAGCACGGCTAGGCAGCAGTACGCATTGCTGCAGCAGTACGCCTAGGCAGCAGCGCATGTTACTGCAGCAGCACGGCTAGGCAGCAGCGCGTGTTACTGCAGCAGCACGGCTAGGCAGCAGCGCGTGTTACTGCAGCAGCACGGTTAGGCACCAGCACGTGTTACTGCAGCCGCCCACAGCCACTCCCAGCCGCCCACAGCCACTCCCAGCCGCCCACAGCCACTCCCAGCCGTCCACAGCCTCTCCTAGCGCGCGCCCCAGCCAGAAACGCTCGCCCCTAGCCAGAACGCGCGCCCCAGCCAGTGTGCGCGCCCTAACCAGAACCGTGCGCCCCAGCCAGAGCGCTCGCCCCACAGCGCCTCGTACCCGCCCCACAGCTCCTTCAGCCCCTGCTAGCCGCCCACAAACACCTACTCCAGCCCGTTTTTTGCCTACTGCCACCCATAGCCGCCCTCAGTAAGCCTTGCAGTTTGCGCTGCCCTTGCAGCCACCAGCCACAGGCCTCCAGTCACGCCCCTAGCCACTGGCACCTCTAGCAGCGGCTGGCAGCCGCGGTTACTTTTCCTGACGTAGCTCCGGTTTTGTGGCCCGACTGGCGTTCCTAGCCCGCCTTGCCTACCTGACCGTTCCCAGGCTGATGTTTCTTCGTAGGTAGTTACTTGTCTCTCTCCAGCGACTCCTCGTTCCAGCTGCTCCTAGCGCCAGTAGTTCCTAGCTTGGCGCTTCTAGCTCCGGCCTAGTCTCGCTCCAGCCGTTCCTCGTTCCAGCCGCTCCTAGCTCCAGTTTCTCCTAGCTCCAGTCGCTCCTAGCTCCAGTCGCTCCTAGCTCCAGCCGCTCCTAGTTCCAGTCGCTCCTAGCTCCAGTCGCTCCTGGTTCCAGACGCTCCTAGCTCCAGTCGCTCCTGGCTCCAGTCGGTCCTAGCTCCAGTCGCTCCTGGCTCCACATGCTCCTCGCTCCAGTCACTCCTGGCTCAGGCCGTTTCTAGCCTCAGCTACTCCTAGCCTGCCCCTCCTACATCCAGCTAGCCTTTACCATGGCGTCCACTAGAGTTCTCCAGCAGCAGGGACAGCAGCTGCGGTGTGAGGATCGATAGGATCGAGTTCAGAAATGAGGAATGTATTCAATGATCCACATGGGTACAACACGAGGCTATATCTAGTCTCGACACAAGGCCAGTAACCCAGGTGTTACGCGAATGTTCTGAGGGTCGCGAAGCGTCCCGAACAGAACCTTTCCGAATTCGGTAGAAGGCAATTCGGTGGCAACCGAAAGGCCTAGAATTCGGAACAGGCAACCTGGTTCGGTGCTATAACTATAATAATGTATAGGAAAGCACATAACATAGGAAATCAAGCATAAGCATGCATGATAAAATAAACCTAAGCTAGAAATAGCATAATAAAGACAAGGCAAGCTAGCAAAGCAAGCATAAGCCGTCGTACTCTCACACGTCCCCCCCTCAAAGCTGGGTAGCGTGAGATACAACCTGCTTACGTATAGTCCTTGAAAGCATGGCGTACGTTGCCCATATCAGCTTCTGCAACCCAGCTTTCCTCCGATGGGTCATAACCCTTCCAGCGTATCAGGAACTCGAGGGTCTTGCCGCCGCGGCGCCGATGAGTGAGAACGCGTTCCACTTCGTACTCTGGTTCATCCTGTATGAGAACAGGTGGTGGTGGCGGTAGCTGTCGTCCCTGGAGCTGTTGGTTGGGGTCCTTGTAGGGCTTCAGTAGTTGAACATGGAAAGCATTGTGAAGCTTCCACGTAATAGGTAAGCGCAGGCGGAATGTTACTGGTGTCACCATCGTCTCAACGCGAAAGGGACCACAGAAGCGAGGCAGGAGTTTGGATGGTAGATGGGACAGGTCCAAGTTGCGTGTGTCAAGAAGCACCTGAATTCCAACTGCTACCGAGTGATCTCGTCGCTGTCGATCTGCATACTGCTTCTGGGAGTTCTGCATCGTGGTGAGACGTCGCTGAGTCTTCTCCCATAGCTGCTGCATGGTGGTGACGAAGTCATGTGCGGCTTGGACGTGTGCCGGTGTGGTTGGCTGCTGTGGTGTAAGTGGTTCCCGTCCGTAGCACAGGAAGAAAGGAGATTTCTCTGTGGCCGCATGTGACGCGTTGTTGTAAGCGAACTCAAGCGTCGGTAACTGTAGATCCCAATGGCTGACGTCGTCTTTGCAAGCTGTGCGCAGTAACCGTTCAACCAACTGATTGAGTCACTCAGTCTGTCCGTCAGTC